TCATTGAGAGATCATGAACTATTATTTGTTCGGGCTGACTTGGGGCTGGTGAGAGTACTTACCTTTGTGGTATGGCTTGCATGTGACTGAGTGAGACCACTACTTAATCTGAGTTTCAAATTGGTAGGTAGTTGCTTTAGTTGCTCGCCACGTGCTAGAACCATAAGAGTTAGTGTGAATTCCTGCATTTTCTGTAATAAGTTTTTTTACTTAGGTCAATTCTTGCATTTTCTGAGATATTTTCTTACACTTGGCTTTGTATAAATCGTGGCAAGCTACTTTCTCTACGGGAAGCGCTGCCGAAATTTCTACAAATCCAAGGAGTTAGTTGAATTTTGACTTGTCAAAAGTTCAACTTTGTCTTTATTATATCTGACTTCGCTAAAATCTGGGAAGTCTCATTTTCTAAAGGGAGTGCTGCCCAAATATTGGCTAATTTAGGGAGTTAGACAAAATCGAACTTTGGAAAGTCAAAGTTACTTTCAAATTTTGGACTTAGCCTTTTACAAATTTTGGAATAACACTTTTCTGAAGGGAGTGCTGCCGAAATTTCTACAGAATTAAGGAGTTAGTTAAATTCTGTCTAAAGTTGAACTCGAGCTGTCTTTCGAGTTCATATCTGGTTTAGTATAAATCTGGGAAGTCTCCCTTTCTAAAAGGAGTGCTTCCCAAATTTCTACTATTTTAGGGAGGTAGATAGAATTTGACTTTCTAGACATAGTTAACGAGGACATACTCAGCTATCACTGATAACAGGTTATAGGATGATTGAGTAAGGTCGCGATATGGAGATTGTCCTTCATGAACTTATAGGTTCAGCCTGGGGCATTGACCTGTTATATGTTACAGGCTCCTTTTGATCGTTTGATTCAAGATCCGGACGAGATTCAGCTTGATCGGAAATGTCGCGAGGGCCGAACGACATGTCCTTCAGCCGTTCAATATCGTGTGGGGTAGCCCCTCACGATATATTCCTTCAACCATTCAATATCGCGAGGCCGGAGCCGCGACTACCAC